ACACACACACACACACACACACACACACACACACACACACACACACACACACACAGACAGACACAGACAGACACACAAACGCGAGCATGAACGCATGCGCGCACTCACTATCAGGTTGATGCAGCAAACAACGTTCACAAGGGCGATGTTGAAATTGAGGCTATAGAAAAAGCGCGTGCGTAGTAGAGAGCTTGCAAGGAACGTGCAGAGGCCTTCACTAAGCAGCTATAGAAGTAGCAGTATGGTGTTGACAGCTTAGATGACATCGCGTCACCGTTTTTTGCGCTTGTCAGCAACCAGGCGGCCACGTCTGCACTACAGATTCTACATTTTTACAATGAAAGGGTTAAAGCGGGTGGGCGGGAGATGTGAGCCGGGAGGCTTACCATAATGAACTAACATCGAGTTGTTTTTCGTGCTCTCCCTCCTCTCTTTCTCCTGCCTCCCCCACTCTCTCTACCTCTTGCCATGCACCAGCCGTAGGATTCCTCCTCATCATCCTTCTGCCGCTCTTCCTCAATCTCCTTCTACTACTAATACTTCTTCTTCTCCTTCTCATTCTCTCTCTTCTTCCTCTTCTTCTTCTTCTTCTTCTCCTCCTCTCAGCCTTCGTCTTACCCGATTCTCGCGGCTTATGCTCATCTAAATTTTCCATATTTTCTGTACAATCTAGATTACGGCTTCCAATAATGAATTACATGTAACATCTTCGCTTCTGCTCCGTAGGTCGCATTCGCTGTCGCTTCGCCTCAGGCAAATAGGTTCGCTGTACTCGTTAGTATTGTCGTCGTTTGTTACACTCGCTACAGCCCGTGACATATGTCTCCTCCTTCTCTCCTCCGCTCTCTCTCTCTCCCTCTCTCGCGCTCTCTCTCTCTCTCTCTCTCTCTCTCTCTCTCTCTCGCGCGCTGTCTCTCTCGCACTCTCTCTCGGGCGCTCTCTCTCTCTTTCTCTCCGTCCGTCCGTCCGTCCATCCATCCGTCTATCCGGCCACCTACCCACCCACCCATCCATCCATCCATCTATTTTCCCTCCGTCTCTCTGCCCCTATCCCTTTCGTTCTCTCATTCTCTCTCTTTCTCTCTCTCTCTCTCTCGATCTATCCCATCTTTGCCCCCAGCCCCTGTCTATATCCCCTTATCATCCTCTTCCCTTCTCACACTCATAGCTATCCACTGGCACCCTATCTTCCCTCCTCTCTCTCTCCGCCATGCGCTCTCTACCCTCCCTCCTCTTTCTCTCCGCCATACCCTGCCCCCCTCCTCTCTCTCTCCGCCATGCCCTCCCTCCCTCCTCTCTCTCTCCGCCATGCGCTCTCTACCCTCCCTCCTCTCTCTCTCCGCCATACCCTCCCTCCCTCCTCTCTCTCTCCGCCATGCGCTCCTTAGCCTGCCTCCTCTTTCTCTCCGCCATACCCTCCCTCCCTCCTCTCTCTCTCCGCCATGCGCTCCTTAGCCTGCCT